CCTTGAGGCTGTGAGGTGGGCCTTCTAAGTGTCAGTAGGGCCATGTACACTTTTGGGTAATTCTCTATTTTGTATTTTAAGAAATAATATAGGGTATTACTTATTGCAAAAAATTCAGGAATTGAAGGCTTTAGACTATGTTTTACCTTGGAGTATTTATTTTAGTTTTTTTTGCAAACCAAACTGAGGCTCGCGTCTTGTTCCGCCTCCAGGATTACGCCTCAAGGCATTTTCTCCACCGCCTCATGGCTTTTTTTGCCTTTCAAAACGTTGCCATGGTTTTAAAAGTCAGAAAAGGCGAACCGCCTTGAGGCGGCGAGGCAAAAAAGGACCTTGACTATACTTTGTCCCCAGATATTGGTTGTTGGTTCTCTTCAATTTAATCTCCTAAATGAGGGTGCAATAAACGATTATGGTAATTAAAAGGAATGACAATAAGTCAGAAAAATAATTAACTTGGATTCGGCACGACTTTTAGCATAGAGAAAAGGCTTGGGGTTTGGTTGAGAAAGGACTGTGTCATAGTTGTTAGAACTCACGATATGAATACAATTTTTAAGATATTAAATAAATACATATTGGTTTATCTTCCATTCTTTCTCATATTTGTGGGCTGGCATAAGCATTAAATTATAAGAACAACGCATAAGCTTGGCATGATACTTTTAGACAGTTAAAATGCTATATTAGTTCTTTTATTTGTTTATTGCATGAAACAACCTTTCTAGCAAGAGGTAAGATGAAGGATTCAACTTCTTAATTAAGCTTATCAAGAACTTTGAAGATAACATGCAGATTGTTTAATCGCTATTGTAGGTTGTTGTGGTGCCAGGCGATGGCCAAGCATACGAAGGCGAAATATGTGCTTTTGATTTTCACTACAATCTTGTTGCTATACGGTTCAAGGCAAATTCTCCACTCCGAAGTGCTAAATTGAGGCTTGTTGATGACTCAGTCAATATAAATCCTCAACACGGCCTTGGTGAAGAGACGGCGTTTCAACTTAAACGCCATTCGTCTTTGTTTAAGCTCTTTCCGGGTCAGGCTGTAATAGGCATTGGACGGTATTTTGCTGAGCCTTACGAACTCATGGCTGCTCCGGGTGAATTTAGGTTTAAAACAACTATTCATTCTTTCTGGCTATTTTAATTATACATTCAAGGACGACATTGAACATGCATAAGTGGTAGATTCTCATTATAATTGGTTTTTGTTACTTTTGCAGTCTTGGCTGCTGTGATTATGATTGTAAAGAGCTTTTTCAAGCATTGTGCAGAATGACAAGTGTATGTCATTGTTTCTTGCTTTTTTTCCATCACCTTTGATGTATATTCATGTATCGATTGCTAAAGAGTAGCAAATGCCAATAAGTTTTGTTAGGGTGGTAGATCTGGCGAATAGTAGAATATGGTTTTATCTCTCTTGATGCGTGGGAACTTTTGAGCTTCACATCTCTAACACATTCTTTCTGAACTTTATAATTCCATGTGGCCGCTTTTTGCTGCAACCCTGGTGGAGTGGGCTTCATGATTTCCTTATAAGAGATGATTGTCGTAGTTATATTGTTAATTTCCCCACATGGGTAGCTTGTACTTAAAACAATTATTTCTTTGTATTGCAGTGCGGTGATGGGGGCCCACTTATCAATCAATCTGGAGAAGTCATTGGCATTGCATTTTATGATATTTTTCAGACTCCTTTTCTTCCAATAAACCTAGTTTGCAAGTGGTGGGAGCACTACAAAAGACATGGGTATGTGAAAAAAAAGAATGCATATCAATTCATGCTTTGGGTCGTGATCGATTAGGCAAACAAAGATAAGGCAATACATGCCTTGATTTGAGAGTACGAGAGCAAGAGATTTTGCATACTTTTGTTGTCTTTTAATTTGTTGCAAGAACAGAGAGAGTTGCATGTGATCTAACTTTATCTAATTTTTGACTGTCATATATTGGCATTAGTGATTAACAAGATGTTTGTATTTATTTTCCCAAGGGAACTTCGCCGGTCTTTTGTGGCAATGCAAGCCACTAATTTGTATGCTGCTGATCTTGAACTTGTGGATAGGATTATCCGGAAATTTCCAAGCATTTACAAAGGTGTTATTGTTGAACAGGTAGGTGTGTTTGTTGCATTGGTAGAGAACTCATATGTTGTTCTTTGGTTGCATGACTGGTATGTTTGGTGTGTAGGTCATTCCAGGGTCATCTTTATGTGTGGATGATGTCATAATTGAGTGTGCTGGGAGAGCTGTTCACAGTTTTTTGGAGGTAATTAAAAATTTTCATTGGATTTAAAAGTGTGTGGTGAGGTGTGTGTAACCTTGACTCTCTTAGGTGAAGTGTGTTGGGTGACAATTCTAAGGTTTCCAATGTTTTGTTTTTCTCTTTGGGAAGTGTGGTACGGTGTTCTCTTGATATAACTTCAGCTATAATAAATCAAACCCCTAAAACCCATTTTGTGTAGTCTCAGGTGCTCCTAATTTTAAATAAATAGTTGATCGTACTTGATCATGTAATCCCACCACCCGTTTTTTTGTCCAAATTGGAAGCAGTTATGTGAGATGATGTGGGACAATGTTGGAGATGCGGTGGATTTGGTAGTGGCACGGGCAGATCACGACACTCTTTTAAAGCTCAAGATGACGGTGACTGAGGCCACACCAGATAAGCTTAATCGGTGAGCCCCCGTTTAGTGTGTTGCTCTCTTAAACCACTCTCTCCTTTAAATTTAAAGCGTTCTTTTTTTCTTTTGTGTTTGTTTGTATTCCACTTGCACTGATGTTCAACTTTTCATCTTTTGTCTCATTTTATCATCAGTTGGCACCATTGGCGTAGGTAGCAGCACACAAGGGCGGAGCTTCTTTTTTTTGTTTTTTTGTTTTCGTTTGTGGGAGTGGGGTCGGGGGGAGGCACTAACTTATCATCCGTTCGTTGACACTTTTGGTGATTCCAACAAAGACCTCCCTATTTTCAAAAGTTGCAATCCTCGCCTTGCCACTAGTCACTACACCCTACTTGAAGCTCTAAGTTATTTGTATATGGAGATATATACGAGATATATACTGCCTTTTTTTGTCATTACATAAGGCGTCTTCGATATTTTCAATGCTTCCCTACCCCCACCCAAAGTTGCAATCCTCGCTCCGCCATTGGTTTCATGATACCTGGAGCACTAACTTATTTGTATCATGTGATATATGTATATTCTGTTTTTCTTTTTGTCATCACATTTGAAACTCTTTAAGAAATATTTATAGAAATACTCCCACATGTTTGTTATTTAACGACTCAGTTTTATCCTGCAATAGTAGGGTCTCAAGAAAGTGTGTATGTAGACCTTACCTCGACGTGTAAGAAGTATATTTAGTTGATTGTCAATGAAGTCCATTGGCACAAATATGACTTTCTTAAATGAGGTCATGTGTTTAACTTCAGGGGGCGATAAGTTACATATCTTATATGCTTTTAAGCATAACTTGGAAGAACTTAAAGTATCAATTGAATTTAATTTTTATGTTTTTTTCTATTTTTTGTTTTATTTTTCTAAAGCGGATCTATGAGCAGTTTTTGTTTTTACAGATATATTGATGATATTTGGACACAACAAGTTGATTGTAAACACAAAAAACAAATTTGGAAGTTTGGGATCAAATAAAAATATGAGATTTGGAGAAAAGAAAAGAGAAAGTAAAAAGAAAAATATTCAGAGCTAAGATTCGAACTATTTATATGATACGAAGTAATATTAAAAGCACAGGCATGCTGTAGTTGTTTTGGCACATTTACAATATTAGATTGAAAAGTACAAATAAATGTTTTGTAATCAAGTCAATAGTACTCAAAATATTATTGGCATATAAAAAAAGTATTGTGTTTTGAATTGATGGGTGCGTGTAGGGTTGAGCAAGTATTTGGTTTAGTTGGTTAGCCATTTTTTCTATTGGTTTTGGGCTTGGTTGGATTGATTGGGTTTGAATTTGGTTTGGAATGGGAAATTAAGAAAAAAATCCTCTAAATAGGAATAAAATATATGTTATATCTTCAAAATAGGAGTTCAAACTTAAACTCCTCTAAATAGGAGTAATTAATTAAATAATAAAAAAATCACATAAATAGAATTAAATCTCTAATTGATACCATCTCTCTCTGCTCCCTCTCCTAACGGCCACCCCACCAGGACTTTCTCTCTTCCCTCTCTCATTTTTGGCCACCACCCTCACCATTTTGAAGGGCTGCTTCTGTCAAATCCACCCCACGTGCAGTACATCACTGCCGCCCCAATCCTTGGAGTGCCGCCGCACCAGCTTCCCCCTTTGCGTCGTGTCACGAAGCATCCCTTGTAGATCCGTCGCGGAGCACCGCCTCTATCTCCCCCCTTGCAAATCTATCACACTGCCTATATTCATCAAAGAGCTGAGATTGCCGCCACAATTTTTATTTTTAATTAGTTTCCAAATGCTCAATAATTGAAACTCCATCGTAGAAGTAAGATATACTTCCAACTAATTGCACTCTTCCTCTTTTTTTCTCCTAAAAATTACATCTTCATTGTGCATTGATTTTGGTTTGGTTTTTTCTTCTCATTCTGGAATTTGAATGTTTTTCTTTTAATTTTTTTTGTTTGGTTGTTTTTCTATTAGTTTTGTTTAAAGTTTGCTCCCAATTTCAGCAAAGATTGGTGATAGTGATAAGAAAATTGACATTGTATGTTGGCAATTTTAACATTTCACTTTCTTTTTGACATTTTATATTGACATGTTTGGCATTATGCAATAACATGTTTGACATTATGCAATGACATGTTTGTAAATATGCATTATAATCTTTGAGATTGTGGCTTTGGTTGGCATTGCATTGAAAACTTTTTCCCTTGGCAGTGACTCCATGGCACTATGGTGGCGACAATGGAATCCTGATCCCAACGTTGACAGTAAATTATGACATTGACAGCAGCAAATGGAGCGATGGAAGCAGCATCCGCAATAAATACAAATGAGAGCGGCAAATCGTGGTGGCGATAACAACGATAGTACCGACCGTGGCGGTGTTAGTGGCAACAACATTCCAACAATGTAGATGGTGGCCGCATTTAATAGTGATAGCAGTAGGAGATTGTGGCGATGGAGTGGTGGCGATGACATGTGCGGCGATGGCGGCAGGGGCGACGACGGTGACATATGGGACAGGGCTGTAGCTAATTTAGGTTTTTTAATTTATAAAATGTGTTACCTCCGTCCCAAAGAGTTTGTTACATTTAGAAAAAACTGCGTCCCGTAAAGTTCGGTACATTTCTATTAAAAAACCACTGTTACCCCTTAATTTTTCATACCCTACCTACACATCATACCTTTTTTCTAATAATCTACCATCACATCCTACTTTTACCCATCACATCAAGGGTATTTTTGGAAAGTCAATACAAAAATATCCCTCCCTTAATTTCCCAAAAAGTCAAACTGTCCCATTCTTTTTGGGACGGAGGGAGTATTAAATTTCATATTTGTAATATGAATATAACTTTTATTTTGGTACATAGTCAATATTTTACTTCTATTTCGCACCTTAACTCTAAGCCATTAAAAATATGTGCAAAATATGTAAGGGAAAAGTAAATTGCTTCAATGTAGTGCGTATATTTTTTTTATTCAATCTCATCATTGTGTTTATTTTACCCTTACATATTTTGTACATAATTTTTTTAATGATGACGTGTAATTTTATTTTAGACTACATGAAAAATATTATCGTGGCATGATAGTTTATACCTTATACTTATTTTTTCTAAAACTTTTTTTTATCAAGGATAACGTGCACTAATTTATTTTATGAAAAAATAGGGATAAAATTACTAATTCTATTATGTATAAATTGTACGTTAGATAAGGCATATGAATATGGACTAGAATGAATAAAAAAACAGAGTAAATGTTAAATATTTTAATTATTTTAATATATTTAGTAATATATATTACACTTATGGTTGTTACTTATTATAGCTAGAGTTATTATTATACAATATTTCCTTATTTATCTAGCCATTAATATGGAGAATTTTAGAATACTCCAACTCCAACTATATATTCATTGTTTTGTATTATTTCAAATTATTCAATCAAAAAGCATTCTATAGTATTTTACATGGTATCAGAGCCTTTGGTCTTGGTGACTTAATAATTTCTGCTTCCGCCATCGCCGTCGCCAGTGGTTTGTCCGGTGACGGTAGCCTCACTTTCACTTAGCTTGTTCTTCCATTGATCCTAATTCCTTCATAATTCCATCTATAAAATAATATTCCTAACCAACCACAATTGTCTGTTTCTAGATCCACCATGACACTTCTTGATTTAAGAATTAAGATGAGACTGTCACATCAACTTGCTCAGTTGGCATATCTTCAGTTAATAAGCATCCCTAGCAACACTTCATTCTTTTTATTTCTCCTTTTGTTTATCCTCTAAATTAGTCAGGCACGACACCAGCGCACCTCAACCTTCTCCCCTTTTCGACGTCAACAGCATGAGTCTGTTTGCGGCGGCTTTTCTCCTCTCCTCATCAGTGCTGTCACATCTCTTTCCAGGATATCTTTAATCTTCTCTTCTGGGCCGGATGCATTCAGTCTACTCTAGCCGAAGATATGCCTCTAACTTGTGATTACAATTTTGGTCACGATTCAAGTAAAAGTTGGCGTTCAATCCTCACCTCCCAAGACATTGGTATCATTTAAATATATTAATTATTTTAATATATTTAGTAATATATATTACAATTATGGTTGTTACCTATTATAGCTAGAGTTATTTTTATACAATATTTCCTTATTTATCTAGCCATTATTATGGAGAATTCTAGAATACTCCAACTCCACCTATATATTCATTGTTTTGTATTATTTCAAATTATTCAATCAAAAAACATTCTATATTATTTTATAGTAAATTTCTATTTTACTCTAAGTCATTAGATTACTTAAGTTAATTATTCCTATTTAGGGAAGTTTATGTTTCCACTCTTATTTTGAGAATATGTCATATGTTTTACTACTACTTTGGTCTTTCTCCCAACAAACTTTAGGCACTATGTAGTTCAAAAACAAATGTTTGTTTTTTTTCCTTTTGTTCAATTTATTTACGTACCCGGTATATATTAATATTGTGTAAATGTATGTCATGATATACTGTTGGGAAAATCACCTCAATTTTCTAGCAGAAGCAATTAATAATTTTCCCGTCTTTGTATTGTCAAAATGGGCAAAATCATATGACCGATCAAGAATAGCAAACACAACAACAAACAATCAATGAAACGATAAACGAACACCAAGATTTAACGTGAAAACCCTAAATCGGGGAGAAAACCACGAAGCCTTCCACTAATCACCAAGAAAAATCAGTGGGTACACCAAGAATCCTCTCTAAATCAATAAGAGGTACACACAATCATCAAGCAACAACTTGGAACACCAAACAACAATAATCTTCACTCAAAAGTGAGAAAACCTATACAAAAACGCAGCAAACAGAGGCAGTTTTACCGACATCGAGAGGTCAAAACGACAATCCCACCGTTGGATATGAAGAAGAAGATGTCAGGAACAACATACTAAAATTTCATCCAGATCGGAGCTTGTTTGGTCGTCGATCGGAGCAAAAACCCGGACTGCTGCACCACTTTTTTTCTCTCTTCTTTTTCTCTCGGCTCTATCTTTTTCCTCTCTGTTTTCTGCGCTGTTTTGCTGCCTGTCTGCCCGTGAGTTTTTAGCCTCAATAAAGGCTACTGCCATTTCAAATAAGTGGCAGCCCACTTTAACCCTTTTTTTTCTTTCTTTATTATAATAATAATAATAATAATAATAATATTATTATTATATTACTCCACTTCTAAACAAATTACATTTTTAACCCTAAATGCATTGTTTAGAAACTCCTTACTCCATGTAGGAGGGATACCCCAACAAATCTCCCTCTCACTTTTACATTTGGGGGGGGGGGTAAAACTCAATGATGATTAATATCAAACAAACCTTTTACAACCAACTGCGCCAAATCCATAGGTTGTGAGCAAGCTCTCTTCCCTTCAACTTGAACACCCGAAGGCTCTTGGGTGCTCGCTTGCTTCCATGCAACTTTACCAAGGAATGACCACGTCCATCAAGCAAGGATATAACTAGGGGTGTAAACGGCTATTAATCGGATCGGATATATCATTACCAAATTCGTATCCGTTTATTTTTGTCGGATATCGAATTCGGATACGAATCTTGAC